CATGCCATGCCTCACTCCCATGCAATGCCTCACTCCCATGGCATGTCGCACTTCCATGCTGTTACCCTACCCTCGTGTCATGCCAATGTCCCAATCACTCCCCGCGTGTCCCCCGTCACAGTGATCTCTCCGACAACCAGCTGTCTGGTGCCATTCCCCCAGGCATAGGTGCCCTCACATCCCTATGTTACCTGTGAGTGTGCCAGACATTGGCAAACAAGCAGCCATAGACGGCCAAGAAACATAGGCATTGTCACTCATGGTTGGAAGGGCAGCAATCATAGGCATCCTAAGAAAGCGCTTGAGCTAGAAAGAACGGAAGTACATAACTTGCTTCATTAGAAGAAAGCATGGTGCTACTCGTAAAGAGAGTTGAAGCTCCACACCTCTGCAAGAGGTATGACGATCTCAAGCGTTCTAGTCAGGACCGTCGATAAGCCATGCATCGCCCATACCAATGACTTTTGCAAGTTACTTGCGCACCTTCGTGAAACAGAATTGTTTTCCATGTGATAACCACGACGATTTTTGACGTGCCTCGACAACCATAGAAAGAAAGTGGTTGAATTTCTCAACGCTCTTGGCACAGATGGTTTCTGTCTGTGCGGACTTGTGATTGATCTCTCAACCTTGCAGCTGCCTCTCGCAAAACATGCTCACAGGCAACATTCCTACAGAAATGGGCAACTTGGTCCGGCTTCAGATCATGTCAGTGGAACCACGCCTCTCTCCCTGTCCCCTCCCTTCTAGTCCATATTCTTGCAATGCTTCATCCATGCATGCATATTCTCTGACGTTCCCCATGCTTTCTCATTCCTTGAGCTCTCCACACCTCACATGCACCCTCTCACATCCCCTGCTCTGTACCTTTCCACCCCAGTTGTTCTCCACTGTAAACTCAAGTGTCACCTTGGTCCTCTGAATGCGCCCATCACAGCGACCTGGACGACAACAAGCTGGGAGGCACCATCCCTGATGCCCTGAGTACCCTCACCAGCCTGGGCCACCTGTCAGTCGCTCGCCCCCTGCCACGCCTTCCCTGCCTCACAGCCCGTTCCTGCTCTTCCCTCAAGCTCATGTCACGACTGTGCATCACTCCCCCTCCTGCGCGCATGTCAGTATAGCGAGAATCAACTGCTTGCCACTGTTTCGGCTTTTCAATCACTCAAACAAGAGTTACTCCCACACTGCGTTTACCTTGTGTTGCATGCTGCTCTCAGGTCCATGGCCACTAACGAGCTGGAAGGGACGATTCCTGCCTTTCTCTCTTCCTTCATTCAACTCTCCTACGTGTCAGTGTGCCCACATACCCACCTGTCAAGGCGTAGCCACCAGAGCCGCTATCGTATCTTTTCTTCCGTGAGCATCCACCCCCCCCCCAACCCCCGCCCAGATTCTTTTTCCACACCGTTCTCTTCGTCCATCCTCTCTCTCTCTCCCTCCCTCCCTCCCTCCCTCCCTCCCTCCCTCCCTCCCTCTCTCCCACCCTCACTCCCTCCCTCCCTCCTTCCCTCCCTCCCTCTCCCTCTCCCTCCCTCCCTCCCCCTCCCTCCCTCCCTCCCTCCCTCCCCCACCCTCCCTCCCTCCCTCCCTCCCTCCCTCCCTCCCTCCCTCCCTCCCTCTCCCCCTCTCCCCCTCCCCCTCCCTCCCCCCCCCCTCCCTCCCTCCCCCCCTCCCTCCCTCCCACCCTGCTCCCTGCCATTGCCTGACTGCCCCCCAGCTCGCTCTACGACAACCAGCTCTCAGGCTCCATTCCTGCTGACATTAGCAACCTCGCTCTTCTAGAGATGCTGTGAGCACCGCACCTCACTACACCGCGCTGCACTTTTCTCCTTTCATCCCTTGCCCGTTCCCTCCTCCCCCCATTATTTACCTTCTCCATTTTGTGTTTCCTTTCCTTTCACCGTGCCCCCCATGCTAGTCCATACACCCCCACATCTGTTCACTGTTCACAAACGCTCGCGCGCTGCTCACTCGCATTTCCCTACTTCTCTCTACCAGACTCTAACTCTCATTACCGCTTAACCCAATGCACCCACACCCTCACTCTTCATCTCTCCTCTGTTCTGAGCCCTCCGTCTTCTGATCCCTCGCCCAGTGACCTTGGCAACAACACGCTGACAGGAGTTATACCCACCTCGATAGTAGCTCTGACGAACCTCAATGTCTTGTGAGGGAGGGAAGAGGGGGGAGCGCGACTGAGTGTGCAAGAGAGGTGCAGATGTTGGTAACCACGTGGATGTCCACACGAGAGAGCAAAAGAGGTGGTTACCGCATCGCCCGTCCTCGTTTGAGAGTTTTGAGAAATCGTAGTTACTCTCGTAATGTTGCGCGCACATACCTTCCTCTTGTCATGCTGTTCAGAGAAGTCTAACAACTTGATTGTTAGGGTGTGGTACAGCTTGGTTCAAGGTGGCGTTATAAACAGGAGGTTTGAAAAGAACGAATGGGTAACAAGCAATAGACAGCTGTGTACTGTGCTCATCCAATATTTGAACTGCTTTTAAACAGTTTTGTTCCTCATCCTTCCATCCCATGCCATCCCAACCGCTGCAGGTTATTTTTGAGAATTTTCATAAATACCCTGTTTCTCACCCTTCTCTGCCATGCCATCCCACCCCATGCCACCTCTCGACTCAATATTGCTCGTTACCACTCTCCATCTTTCTATACTGTTTTCCGCAACACACACACCCCCATGCCCCGTCTTTCCTATCTTCTGAACCCTCTTCCTCCTTTCTGCTCTTCCTCCTCGCCCAGTGGGCTATCCAACACCAAGCTGACAGGAGACATACCCTCTTCCATTGGCGACTTGACGAACCTCAATGCCCTGTGAGGGAGGGAGGGAGGGAGGGAGGGAGGGAGGGAGGGGGGGAGACAAGCGAGTTATTGTGCACAGAGGATGTAACGATGAAGGTGCATATTAGTGTTAAACGCATGGATGTTCTCACGAGATAGCAAGAGAGGTGGTTACCATGTCGGCCGTCCTCGTATGAGTGTTTCGACAATTTGCAAGAACCCTCGTTTTATTTTGCACATAGCTTCCATTCTGCACATAGCTGTCGTGGTGATCTGAGATGTCTAACTAAATCCGTGCCATGCCATAACATGCCATGCCATGCCATTCACCCCATTCCACCTTACGTCTCCAGCTACCTGAACGACAACAAGCTTGAGGGATCCATTCCAAGCACCATTGCCCAACTGCAGTGGCTCACACGGCTGTACGAAACAGACACTGGCTGCTCAATTTTCTTCTTCCGTATTACCCATGCATTTGGAGGTGGCTTTTGAAAACCTTGAAAGTGGTATTGAAAACGTTTCATCTCTTTTGCACGTGCACCTTCTGCATTGCTGTATGTATCTGAGTCGCTTTAGAGAATTCTCAAATGCACACTGCTCTTCAGATGCACGCCCCACTGCACCTCACCACACCACACCACACCACACCATGCCGCACCATGCCTCACATTCACCACTTTCCTCCGACCCCTCTCACCCAACGCCTGCCCCTCTCACTACGCCTCACATGCTCCACTTCCCTCCTGCCCCTCTCATCGCACAGCTGCCCCTCTCATCGCACAGCTGCCCCTCTCATCGCACAGCTGCCCCTCTCTCCTCGCCCCATCTGCCCTCTAGTCGCCTTCCCCACTGATCAATCTAAACTGACTGTGCGTGAAACCACCCCTGCTCTCCCTCCCTCCCGCCCTCCCTCATTCCCTCCTCCCTCCCGATATCTATCCCTCCTCCCTTGCTTCCTACCTCTATACCTCCCTCCTTCCCTCCATGCTAGACCTCTCTGTCTCCCTACTGCTCTCTACCGCACTTACCATATTACTTACCCTGATACACCCCCATTTCCCGTCTCTCCTCTGTTCTAAACCCTCTTCCACCTACCTCCATGGTTAGTGCGCTTTCCAACAACAATTTGACAGGAGTCATCCCCTCTTCAATAGGCGCCTTGACGAGCCTCTATGACCTGTGAGGGAGGGAGGGAGGGGGACGAGCGAGTGAGGGTCCAAGGGGTAGTGAGAGGGTGCAGATTAGTGGTCATAACGTGGATGTCATGTGGATGTCGTCATGAGAGAGCAAGCGAGGTGGTTACCACGTTTCCCGTCCTCATGTGAGTATTGAGGAGTCGCAAAAACACTTATTCCATTGTGACCATAGCTTCCTCACGTCGTGCTGTTCTGAGATGTCTAAAATATTGGTTGTTACCATGCCATGCCATGCTATGCCATGCCGTTCACCCCATCCCACCTTTCAAATCCAGCTACCTGAACGGCAACAAGCTTGAGGGGACCATTCCAACCACCATTGCTCAGCTGCAGTGGCTCACATGGCTGTACGAAACAGACCTAGCTGCTAAACTTTTGCTTCCATGCTGCCATACCCATAGGACGTTGCAGTCGATTTTTGAAAATCTTAGTAGTAGTCTTTTGAAATGTTGCCATTGCAATGTTGCCGGCTGTTTTCGAAATCTTGAGAATGGTCTTCCTTCACCTGGCTTCTGTCTTGTATATATTTTGTACGAGCATCGCTGTGCGTTGCTGTGCATCGCTGTGAATCACTGTGCATCGTAGTGCATCACTCTGCACCGCTGTATGTATCTGAGCCACTGTAGACAGCTTTCAACAGCAACATTTCTCATGCACTTCCCGCACACTCTCGCACTGCTCTTCAGGTGCACGCCTCACCACGCCTCACATGCTCCACTTCCCTCCTGCTCCTCTCATCGCACAGCTGTCCCTCTCTCCTCGCCCCATCTGGCCTCCAGTTGCCTTTCCCACAACTCTCTCACTGGCGGCCTCGATAACCTCTCCCCATTGATCAATCTAATCGGACTGTGCGTGAACCCACCCCTGCTCTCCATCCACCCCCAACCGTCTACTCTCCCACACACCTCTCTCTCTCTCCCCACTTCATCTCGCTCATTCCCATCCCTGAACCTCCTCTCCCGCCGCAAGTCACCCTTCCTCCCTTGCTGCCAGTTAATCCCTTCAACCCCACTCTTCCCTTCCCTCTTCCCCACCCCACCCCCCCCGTTGCACTGCTTCCATCTTCCATTCTTGAATTCCTGTGAGCCATGCTTGAATTCCTGTAAGCCATGCTTGAATTCCTGTGAGCCATGCTTGAATTCCTGTGAGCCATGCTTGAATTCCTGTGAGCCATGCTTGAATTCCTGTGAGCCATGCTTGAATTCCTGTGAGCCATGCTTGAATTCCTGTGAGCCATGCTTGAATTCCTGTGAGCCATGCTTGAATTCCTGTGAGCCATGCTTGAATTCCTGTGAGCCATGCTTGAATTCCTGTGAGCCATGCTTGAATTCCTGTGAGCCATGCTTGAATTCCTGTGAGCCATGCTTGAATTCCTGTGAGCCATGCTTGAATTCCTGTGAGCCATGCTTGAATTCCTGTGAGCCATGCTTGAATTCCTGTGAGCCATGCTTGAATTCCTGTGAGCCATGCTTGAATTCCTGTGAGCCATGCTTGAATTCCTGTGAGCCATGCTTGAATTCCTGTGAGCCATGCTTGAATTCCTGTGAGCCATGCTTGAATTCCTGTGAGCCATGCTTGAATTCCTGTGAGCCATGCTTGAATTCCTGTGAGCCATGCTTGAATTCCTGTGAGCCATGCTTGAATTCCTGTGAGCCATGCTTGAATTCCTGTGAGCCATGCTTGAATTCCTGTGAGCCATGCTTGAATTCCTGTGAGCCATGCTTGAATTCCTGTGAGCCATGCTTGAATTCCTGTGAGCCATGCTTGAATTCCTGTGAGCCATGCTTGAATTCCTGTAAGCCATGCTTGAATTCCTGTGAGCCATGCTTGAATTCCTGTGAGCCATGCTTGAATTCCTGTGAGCCATGCTTGAATTCCTGTGAGCCATGCTTGAATTCCTGTGAGCCATGCTTGAATTCCTGTGAGCCATGCTTGAATTCCTGTGAGCCATGCTTGAATTCCTGTGAGCCATGCTTGAATTCCTGTGAGCCATGCTTGAATTACTGTGAGCCATGCTTGAATTCCTGTGAGCCATGCTTGAATTCCTGTGAGCCATGCTTGAATTCCTGTGAGCCATGCTTGAATTCCTGTGAGCCATGCTTGAATTCCTGTGAGCCATGCTTGAATTCCTGTGAGCCATGCTTGAATTCCTGTGAGCCATGCTTGAATTCCTGTGAGCCATGCTTGAATTCCTGTGAGCCATGCTTGAATTCCTGTGAGCCATGCTTGAATTCCTGTGAGCCATGCTTGAATTCCTGTGAGCCATGCTTGAATTCCTGTGAGCCATGCTTGAATTCCTGTGAGCCATGCTTGAATTCCTGTGAGCCATGCTTGAATTCCTGTGAGCCATGCTTGAATTCCTGTGAGCCATGCTTGAATTCCTGTGAGCCATGCTTGAATTCCTGTGAGCCATGCTTGAATTCCTGTGAGCCATGCTTGAATTCCTGTGAGCCATGCTTGAATTCCTGTGAGCCATGCTTGAATTCCTGTGAGCCATGCTTGAATTCCTGTGAGCCATGCTTGAATTCCTGTGAGCCATGCTTGAATTCCTGTGAGCCATGCTTGAATTCCTGTGAGCCATGCTTGAATTCCTGTGAGCCATGCTTGAATTCCTGTGAGCCATGCTTGAATTCCTGTGAGCCATGCTTGAATTCCTGTGAGCCATGCTTGAATTCCTGTGAGCCATGCTTGAATTCCTGTGAGCCATGCTTGAATTCCTGTGAGCCATGCTTGAATTCCTGTGAGCCATGCTTGAATTCCTGTGAGCCATGCTTGAATTCCTGTGAGCCATGCTTGAATTCCTGTGAGCCATGCTTGAATTCCTGTGAGCCATGCTTGAATTCCTGTGAGCCATGCTTGAATTCCTGTGAGCCATGCTTGAATTCCTGTGAGCCATGCTTGAATTCCTGTGAGCCATGCTTGAATTCCTGTGAGCCATGCTTGAATTCCTGTGAGCCATGCTTGAATTCCTGTGAGCCATGCTTGAATTCCTGTGAGCCATGCTTGAATTCCTGTGAGCCATGCTTGAATTCCTGTGAGCCATGCTTGAATTCCTGTGAGCCATGCTTGAATTCCTGTGAGCCATGCTTGAATTCCTGTGAGCCATGCTTGAATTCCTGTGAGCCATGCTTGAATTCCTGTGAGCCATGCTTGAATTCCTGTGAGCCATGCTTGAATTCCTGTGAGCCATGCTTGAATTCCTGTGAGCCATGCTTGAATTCCTGTGAGCCATGCTTGAATTCCTGTGAGCCATGCTTGAATTCCTGTGAGCCATGCTTGAATTCCTGTGAGCCATGCTTGAATTCCTGTGAGCCATGCTTGAATTCCTGTGAGCCATGCTTGAATTCCTGTGAGCCATGCTTGAATTCCTGTGAGCCATGCTTGAATTCCTGTGAGCCATGCTTGAATTCCTGTGAGCCATGCTTGAATTCCTGTGAGCCATGCTTGAATTCCTGTGAGCCATGCTTGAATTCCTGTGAGCCATGCTTGAATTCCTGTGAGCCATGCTTGAATTCCTGTGAGCCATGCTTGAATTCCTGTGAGCCATGCTTGAATTCCTGTGAGCCATGCTTGAATTCCTGTGAGCCATGCTTGAATTCCTGTGAGCCATGCTTGAATTCCTGTGAGCCATGCTTGAATTCCTGTGAGCCATGCTTGAATTCCTGTGAGCCATGCTTGAATTCCTGTGAGCCATGCTTGAATTCCTGTGAGCCATGCTTGAATTCCTGTGAGCCATGCTTGAATTCCTGTGAGCCATGCTTGAATTCCTGTGAGCCATGCTTGAATTCCTGTGAGCCATGCTTGAATTCCTGTGAGCCATGCTTGAATTCCTGTGAGCCATGCTTGAATTCCTGTGAGCCATGCTTGAATTCCTGTGAGCCATGCTTGAATTCCTGTGAGCCATGCTAGAATTCCTGTGAGCCATGCTTGAATTCCTGTGAGCCATGCTTGAATTCCTGTGAGCCATGCTTGAATTCCTGTGAGCCATGCTTGAATTCCTGTGAGCCATGCTTGAATTCCTGTGAGCCATGCTTGAATTCCTGTGAGCCATGCTTGAATTCCTGTGAGCCATGCTAGAATTCCTGTGAGCCATGCTTGAATTCCTGTGAGCCATGCTTGAATTCCTGTGAGCCATGCTTGAATTCCTGTGAGCCATGCTTGAATTCCTGTGAGCCATGCTTGAATTCCTGTGAGCCATGCTTGAATTCCTGTGAGCCATGCTTGAATTCCTGTGAGCCATGCTTGAATTCCTGTGAGCCATGCTTGAATTCCTGTGAGCCATGCTTGAATTCCTGTGAGCCATGCTTGAATTCCTGTGAGCCATGCTTGAATTCCTGTGAGCCATGCTTGAATTCCTGTGAGCCATGCTTGAATTCCTGTGAGCCATGCTTGAATTCCTGTGAGCCATGCTTGAATTCCTGTGAGCCATGCTTGGATTCCTGTGAGCCATGCTTGGATTCCTGTGAGCCATGCTTGAATTCCTGTGAGCCATGCTTGAATTCCTGTGAGCCATGCTTGAATTCCTGTGAGCCATGCTTGAATTCCTGTGAGCCATGCTTGAATTCCTGTGAGCCATGCTTGAATTCCTGTGAGCCATGCTTGAATTCCTGTGAGCCATGCTTGAATTCCTGTGAGCCATGCTTGAATTCCTGTGAGCCATGCTTGAATTCCTGTGAGCCATGCTTGAATTCCTGTGAGCCATGCTTGAATTCCTGTGAGCCATGCTTGAATTCCTGTGAGCCATGCTTGAATTCCTGTGAGCCATGCTTGAATTCCTGTGAGCCATGCTTGAATTCCTGTGAGCCATGCTTGAATTCCTGTGAGCCATGCTTGAATTCCTGTGAGCCATGCTTGAATTCCTGTGAGCCATGCTTGAATTCCTGTGAGCCATGCTTGAATTCCTGTGAGCCATGCTTGAATTCCTGTGAGCCATGCTTGAATTCCTGTGAGCCATGCTTGAATTCCTGTGAGCCATGCTTGAATTCCTGTGAGCCATGCTTGAATTCCTGTGAGCCATGCTTGAATTACTGTGAGCCATGCTTGAATTCCTGTAAGCCATGCTTGAATTCCTGTGAGCCATGCTTGAATTCCTGTGAGCCATGCTTGAATTCCTGTGAGCCATGCTTGAATTCCTGTGAGCCATGCTTGAATTCCTGTGAGCCATGCTTGAATTCCTGTGAGCCATGCTTGAATTCCTGTAAGCCATGCTTGAATTCCTGTGAGCCATGCTTGAATTCCTGTGAGCCATGCTATGCAGCTCAGCTGCTGCATCAGTATAGGCAGCGTTGTGCAGTCCCCTTGCAGTGTGGACAGGGTGATTGGGCTGGGGAAATGCATGCGGTGCTAGAACCTTTGATTTCTCTCCACGACTAAATGCCTTGCTTGTTGCTTCCTGTACTCAAGTAGTAAAGTATCTTAATGACCGCCTGAGAGAGAATGCGATTTGGACGTGGGTGAGTGCACTTCTGCCACTGCAACGCCAGTGCTGCTCTGCAATATATGAATGGCATGTTTGCTCTGTGGTTTATGAGGGATTTTAGTCCAGTAAGGCTGCTGCGGCAGAAGCTGCTGTCTCCTGCCTGCTGTCCTGAAGGGTGGACGCACCCTTTGTCATTTCCTCCCCCCACTTATTGCCTTCTCTTGCCCTCTTTCTCCCATCCCAACGGTTCCTCCCTTCAGGGATCTCTCAAACAACAACCTGTCAGGCGCTATCCCCCCTTCCATCTCCAGCCTCGTCTACCTAAACGATCTGTATGTTCTACCCTCGGCATGCGCCCTCCCCTCCCCTCCCTGCATGCCTTCACCCCCCTGCATGCCCCCCCCCTCCTCCTCTCCCTGAGAACCCTTGTCCCGACTTTCCCTCCCTATTTTTTCCCTTCCCTCCTTTATTCCGCCCTGTTTCCCCTGGTTCATATGCCAGGAAGCTAGACGGCAACGCATTGGAGTCTCATATCCCTCGAAGTTTGAGTGCACTCTCTTACCTATATGACTTGTGAGTCGTTCTCTGGTACTTGATTTGACGCCTATGGCACACCATAGCCAATTCAGTCCAATTCAATGTAATCCTATTCAATCTCACTAACTCATTCTTCAATCTCTTTAGTCTTCCCTCTGCCTTCGCTTCCCGCGATCTTTTCCATTATATCGGCAACGGCAGGGACCTGAGCAAGAATAAGTTCTCGGAGAACTTTCCGACTGTCCTCACCCGGATGACACAAGTGGAACACATGTGAGCACATGAGTGCATGCGATACGAGCTACAATCTTGTATCCAATGTCTGCTTCTCCTCCCCTCCACGCCCACACCATCCAGCTTTGCAAGAGGTTGAATGTCGAGACATCTCATGTCACGTCATCCCCTCTCCTCCCCTCCCCTCCCCTCTTCTCCCCCACCATCCATTTTTCACAGGAAGCTGAGCAACAATAACTTCACAGGCAGCATCCCTGCCTCCATCACTTCTCTTGTTTCCCTCACCTACCTGTATCCTTCTCCCACTCTAACACTTGTATCATTCCCTCATTCGCACACCTGTATGCATTCCTCACCCACACACCTGTCCATTTCACTCGCACGAGGAGACGTTGGGAGGCAGCCCTTGGTAGGTACCAACATGTGGGAGTCTCACGGGCAATCCAAGATTACTCTCCAATTAGCCTTGCTGTGTGGCACTGGTGCTTCAAGTGCTTTGAGGGGTTGTTTCGAGTATCCTTGCTCCTGTGTTGAATACTGGTGGCTGCTCCCTCTCCCTCACTCGCGTCCTTTTTTTCTGTCCCTCCAGTGATCTGGGCTACACATTGCTAACAGGCACTATTCCCACCGCCATCACCAAAATGCGACACCTTTCTCGCCTGTAATGTCGAGCTAGTATAATCGATTGAGCTGGCATTACCATTTGCATCCCTGGGAACAAGATGAATGTGTAACATGTGCAAGCGGCTTGTAAACACTTCGGGGTCCCGTCTCAAAACTTAGAAGTCTTTTCTTCCTTGAGTGTCAAGGCCAGCCCAAGCTGTCCCTATTGATGCTAATTTCTTTCACGCCTCTCACCCTTTCTCACCACGTGGTCTAATTTGCCCCTTGCAACAGCCTGTTCTCCTGCTGATTGAACCTCCTCCCGCCACCATCCTCCCATGGTCATCCTTGCTGCACCATGCCACCATGCACCCTAACACATCCCACCATGCACCCTAACACATCCCACCATGCACCCTAACACATCCCACCATGCACCCTAACACATCCCACCATGCATTATCCCAAGAGTCTCCATGCATATCACCTTGCGTGGCCACCACTCACGCAGTGACCTGCGCATACCAACACTCACGGGCTCCATCCCGGCCTCCATGGGCGCCATGCTCAATCTGCAGTACCTGTCAGTCTGCCCTCCCTCTCCTCTTCCCTTCCCCTCCAACCCTCTTTTCCGCATCTCATTTGCACACACGTCCTCAAGTCCTCTGTAGGGCCTGTCGTCTAACCTCCTCCCTCCTATGATTGCCACTCTTGCCTCACCACCAACAAGCTGCATTGATTCCCCGCTGCTGCTCCGCGCATCTTCGACATCTAACCTCTGCTTAGCCCCTTTTTGCCGCTTCATATTCCCATTATAGAACACCTGACTGAACCTTCATATTCTCTCAAGCCCTTCCGCACCGCCTCCTCCCCCGCACCTCCTCCCCTCTTTCCTCCGCTTTCTTGGCTTTGCTTTCTGACAGCTATGTCAACTACGAGGCGACGCCATGCGGTTCCGGGGAGTGCGAGGTGGTGCAGTACTCCGGCACAGCCTTCTGCCGTGCCTGCACTGACTTCTGCGACTCGTGTGATCGCAAGGGTAAGGAGGAGGGTGGAGGGGGGTTTTGAGTTAAGATGGCAACCGTGCAGTTACTAGGGTGGGGAAAGGGGCGCAGGGAAGCATGGGGGGGGATATCGCAAAAAGGAGAGTCAAAAGGCGCAGATGTAAGAGTGTTTGAGGAATGTTCTTGAGGCACTATAACAACGGTTTCAGATTGGTATGGAGAGATATTGATGGACAACTCCTTGTTGCATACACGCAGCACTTCAGCTCGTAGGATTGAGTTGAATGAGCGGATTTGGAGGAGAGGGAAGGTTTGGGGGACAGATCATGCTTGCGCGAGAGATTGTTGGCTGGATCGGAGTCTTTGTGTACAATCTATTTCTCATTGGAGTCTTTGTGTACATTCTATTTCTCATTGGAGTCTTTGTGTACATTCTATTTCTCACACACACTCATGCTCTCCTGTGTGTATGCGTGTGTGCTTGTCCATGAACGTGCTTGAGAATATCACGCATGTACATGTACATGTCAAAACATATGCATATTATATCTAGGCTATATTGGGGATAGCCTTAGGGGGTACACACATTTCTCTCGACACTCTACTCTTGTACCCCACCTTGACCTAATCTCATCATCCTTGCCTTAGATTCTAACATGGTATAGAGCAGGAGGTCCTTAGGACCTTAGTACCTGTTCTGTTTGGGCCCACCTTAAAAATCACCTGCGGTTACCGCGTTACCCCGCGCCCGCCCTACCCTACTACGCGTCGCGCTGCCCCTGCTGGCCGCGCGCCACTGCTGCAGCTCGCATTTTCCTTTTTTTTTTTCGCGCGCTGCCCTGCCTGCTCTGCCCCGCGCGCGCTACGCTCGTCGAGTCGCCCCGCGGCCCTCGCGCGGCTCTCGCGTGGCCCTTTCGTGGCCCTTCGCGGCCCTCGCGCGGCCCTTTTGTGGCCCTCGCGCGGCCCTTTCGCGGCCGTCCGCGGCTCTCCGCTGCCCCTTCGCGGCCCCCTACGCGGCCCCTCCGCGGCTCTGCCGCCCTGCCGCTTCGTCGCCCCACCGTAGCCGCCTCCGCAGCAGCGGCCGTCGCACTTCCTGCCGCTGCAGCTTCCGCCATGGCTGGTTGCCGCTGCAGCTGCTGCCGTGACGACCGCCGCCACTGCCGCTGAGGCAGCCGCTGCCGCCCCTGCCCCTGGCTCCTGGGGCAGCCGCCCCTGCAGCAGCCGCCCCTGGTCCCTGGAGCAGCCGCCCCTACACCTGCTGCCCCTTGCCACTGGAGCAGCTGCCCCTGCAGCAGCCGCCCCTGCCCCTGGCCCTTCGGGCAGCCGCCTCTGCAGCAGCCGCCCCTGGCCCCTGCAGCAGCCGCCCCTGGCCCCTGCAGCAGCCGCCCCTGGCCCCTGCAGCAGCCGCCCCTGCAGCAGCCGCCCCTGGCCCCTGCAGCAGCCGCCCCTGGAGCAGCCGCCCCTGCAGCAGCCGCCCCTGCAGCAGCCGCCCCTGGAGCAGCCGCCCCTGCAGCAGCCGCCTCTGGAGCAACCGCCCCTGCAGCAGCCGCCCCTGGCCCCTGCAGCAGCCGCCCCTGGCCCCTGCAGCAGCCGCCCCTGGAGCAACCGCCCCTGCAGCAGCCGCCCCTGGCCCCTGCAGCAGCCGCCCCTGGAGCAGCCGCCCCTGCAGCAGCCGCCCCTGGCCCCTGGAGCAGCCGCCCCTGGAGCAGCCGCCACCTGCAGCTGCCGCGGAGCCCTCGCCCTACAGTGGTGCCGGCCTCACCATTGCCGCCGTTGTACGCCGGCCCTTCTTGCCACTGGTGAGCACTGTCCTGCCCGTACTGCTGTTACTACTGCTCCTGCTGCTACTGCTCTTTCTCCTGCTACTGCTGCTCGTGCTGCTCCTACGGCTACTGTGCTTTCTCCTGCTGCTACTGCTGCTACTGCTGCTCCTGCTGCTACTGCTGCTACTACTGCTCGTGCTGCTCCTACGGCTCCTACCCTTCCTACTGCCACTGCTGCTCCTGGCGTGGCCAGATGCAGCTCCAGCGCCGTCCACGTGAGCCTCTCCCGCCCCCACAGCTTCATGAGTGGTATGCTAGTTGGGGTTGTCGGGGTGGCCGTCGTGGGAGTCGTTCTGGCGTGAGTAGTTTCGGGGCTTCTTGTAGTGGCCAGGTGCAGCTGCAGCGTCGTGTACGTGCGGTCCCCTCGCCCCCGCAGCTTCATGAGTGGTACTTTCAGCGGGGGGGGTCACGGGGTTCTGCTCGCTGCCCGTACGTCATTCGCACTGGTGCTCGGACTGGCCAGCCTTGCGGGACGTTTGGTCACACAGAGTCCCGCTGCTTCGCCAGTCTGAGCGACGCCTGGCGTACGGAGTTTGGCGACGCGGCTGAGCTCCCCGACTGGGTGGAGCTGCTCCGGCAGAGGGTAGATATCTATGCTCTTGACTTTGATGCTATCCTCACTGCCATGTATGCATTGTCTACTAGTGATGTCGGTGACTGTTCCCTGAGTGCTCCGCCCGACCCGGGCGGTGCAGCTGCTGCTCTAGGTGCTAGTGAGTCTGCTGCTCCAGGTGCTAGTGAGTCTGCTGCTCCAGGTGCTGGTGAGTCTGCTGCTCCAGGTGCTGGTGAGTCTGCTGCTCCAGGTGCTGGTGAGTTTGCTCTCTCAGGTACCACGTCTGCTCCGGCGTCGCACACTTTCACCCTTGACTCGGGTGCTTCCCGCTCCTTCTTTCGAGACTGCACCACTCTCACGCCGCTCAGTCGGCCGGTTGCGGTCTCCCTGGCAGACCCCTCTGGGGGTCCTGTTCTTGCCCACTACTCCACTGTACTACCGTGTCCAGCGGTCCCGTCTGGCTCCCTGTCAGGTCTTCACCTCCCCTCGTTCTCTACGAACTTGGTGGCGGGTGCTGACCTACAGGACGGGGGGGTTGACCAGTTCACCCCTGCGCGTCAGCGGGTGACCCACTGCACGTGTGCAGACACGGGCCGACACTTGGCCACGTTTACCCGTCGGCCGGGGTCGAGCCTGTACACCCTCACTACTGAGTCTCCTCCGGTTGCTGTGCCTGGTCAGGTAGCTGCGTCGGGTCAGGTGTTTGCTGCGGCGTCTCGGTCTGGTCCTGAGTCTGCCCCCTGCTCGTGTCGCCTCCTGTCCCACGAGACTCTTCTCTGGCACCACCGTCTTGGTCACCCCTCCCTGCCTCGTCTCCGAGGCATGGCCTCTCGTGTCCTGGTCTCTGGTCTCCCCCGGTCGCTCCCTCCCCTCCCCCCGGGGCCTGCCCCTACCTGCGTCCCCTACGTCGAGGGGCGGCAGCGCGCCGCTCCTCACTCCTCCGAGTTTCCGCCGACAGAGGCTCCGCTGCAGACTCTTCACATGGACGTGTGGGGCCCAGCCCGCGTCCGTGGACAGGGTCACGAGCGCTACTTCCTGCTGGTAGTTGACGACTACTCGCGTTACACCACGGTCTTCCCCTTGCGCCGCAAGGATGAGGTCACTGAGGTGTTGATCGACTGGATCCGCGCTGCTCGTCTCCAGCTCAGGAAGAGTTTCCGCTCGGACTTTCCTGTTTTGCGTCTGCACTCAGACAGAGGTGGTGAGTTTTCCTCCGGCCCTCTGCGAGCCTTCTGTCGTGCGAGGGGCATCCGCCAGACGTTCACGCTTCCGGCCTCTCCGCAGCAAAATGGGATTGCTGAGCGCCGCATTGGCATGGTCATGGATGTCGCTCGTACGTCCATGATCCATGCGGCTGCTCCCCATTTTCTGTGGTCGTTTGCGGTTCAGTACGCGGCGCGTCAGATCAACCTTCAGCCCCGGGTATCCATGCCGGATACCTCCCCCACTCTGAGGTGGACGAGGAAGGTTGGCGATGCGTCTGCATTCCGTGTCTGGGGATCTCGGGCTTTTGTCCGAGACTTGTCTACGGACAAGCTGTCCTCCCGTGCTGTTCCCTGCGTCTTCCTTGGCTTCCCCCCTGACGCGCCTGGTTGGCAGTTTTACCACCCCACCTCGCGCCGTGTTCTGTCCTCCCAGGACGTCACGTTTGACGAGTCGGTTCCGTACTACCGTCTCTTCCCCTACCGCGCTGCCCCCCTTCCCCCCCCGCCGCTCTTCCTTGCCCCAGGTCCCCCCCCGGTAGACCCCCTCCCCCCTCAGGGTCCTGCTCCTTCAGGTGTGTCTCAGGTAGACCCCCCCCCCCCTTGGCTGAGCCTTTGGAGGTCACTTCTGACACCTCTGGCCCACCTGAGGGGGGTGACGTTGCTGCTGACGCCCCGGCGGCCTTCGGCCGTGCACCACGCTTGGAGACCCCTCCAGGGTTCCCGCCGCGACCGTCTTCGCCGCCTCTGCAGCCGGTTACTGTTGACTCTGGTGCTGTTGGGGGTGGTGCTCCTGGCGGTGCGGAGTCTGGGGGTGCTGAGCCTGGGGGTGCGGAGTCTGGGGGTACTGAGCCTGTGTGTGCGGAGTCTGGGGGTGCTGAGTCTGGCGATGAGACGCTTGAGGGTGCTGAGACTGCTGGTGCGCGGCCTACTTGGAGTGGCCGCCTTCGTCCGCGTGTGCCTCTCACCCCTCAGCAGCTACACGACTGGTACGGGCGGCGTCAGCGTCGCGCTGCTGGAGCCCGGGGCTCTACTGCTGGGGGTGCTGGAGCTGCTGGGGCTGGGGGTGCTGCGCCTGGAGGTGCTACTGCCGGAGACCCTGAGGCTGGGGACCCTGGGACTGGAGGTGCTGGTTCTGGGGGTGCTACTGCTGGAGACGTTGCGGTTGGGGACCTTGGGACTGGAGGTGCTGGTTCTGGGGGTGCTGCTGCGGGAGACCCTGCGGTTGGAGACCCTGGGACTGGAGGTGCCGGTTCTGGGGGTGCTGCTGCTGGTGCCGCTGGTTCTGGTGGTGCTACCGCTGGAGGTACCGGTTCTGCGACTGGAGCTGCTGGAGCTGCTGGAGGCACTGGAGCTACTGGAGTTACTGGAGGTGTTGGAGCTGCTG